ATGCTGCTTGCAACACTGCCAGGTTCGAAGGGTGCTAAATGTGAAAGCTGATTTTTAGCTTTGGAAGTGACTTTTTTTCCAGTCACCAGCAAAGAAACTTGAGGTGACCTCATCCACAGGGCAGAGATGGTACATCCTGTCACACTTCACCTTCGTAGGCCTCCATTTGGAAATCACCAGTTCTGCCACTGTAGTTAATGAATTCATTCTATGTAAAGTTAAGGTCGTGTCTTTGAAGATCCAGAATGTTATGAATATTTTTCTTGAATAATATACATTGTGTATAAGTGCTCTCCTTTTGAAGGTCCATAATCTCCAAGTGCATAGCAGCAGAAACATGTTTTTGTGGACAAATTTCTTTCTGCTTCAGTTAGCAAATCAGCTAACACAAATTAACAGTAGTTGGAGCTTTTCGTTTTTAAGAAATCTTCTGTATCTTACCTCCTACAAATGTTCTTACCTTGAAAGGTTCTCCAACAAAGGCTGGCTGTTGCTGCTCACCAGGTGCATGCTTGCATTCTTGTGTATACAAGCAGCATCTGTCCTTCCCTTGGGAACACTGTCAGCATGTGGAGGTCATTTTCTGATGTCTAGTCTTAGTTTGCTTCATAGCAGTGTGGAACAAGTGGTACTCACGTTCTTTCCTCAAACAAAAAGTAAAACTGGAAGTACTTCTGAAGGCTTTACCCTCTTTATTACAGACAACTGAAAGGACACCGTCAATCCCTGTAATGACAAACTGAAGAGAATATGTGTGGCTTCTACTCTGGCTTGTTTGCTCTGCATGCCTCACTGCGTTTTGTGCAGTCATTTGCATCGACTGCTGAGCAGCACATGTCCTCCCTTGCTCTGTGAGGGCTTTTGTGGGACAGGCTCATTGGTTTATCGAAGAAACTCAAAGGGACAAATATGACAAGCACTTAGGAGAAAAGTCAAAATACAAAGGTTCTATGTAGTTATCTGTTTGTTTTAATTGAACAGCAGTGGCAGTGTTTGCAGTGTGTTGAATCAGCAGGCAGTAACTTTCATGGCATACAATCACAGTTTGCTCTATAATCACCTCACATTATATAAAAGCTTGCCATGAGTAACCTTCAGCTGTGGAAGGTATTGAACAACTATTCCCCTCCTGTACCAGTGATATCATTTGCAGTCTTATTAAAACTTGCCTCTTTCTGAAACAACATCAGGATTGTCTCCTGCAGCGATTAGATCCACTGTGAAATAAGGAGCATCGCTGGGAGCTTTTGATGCTTTGTGGAAATGAGCCCATTTGTTCCACTTCTACCTCAGTTAGGGTACTGGGTGGCCTCATTCTGCTTCTCTGGTGTTAGTGCCCACCAAGCTGTCCCTGAGCTGCTTGTTCCCTGAGTGTTTTATTTGGTTGTGTGGAAGTGGAAGGAGTCGTTTTGAGGATTTCAGCTCTGCTGAGGAAACAGAAGTACTCTTGCTTGTCTAACATTGGAAAATAGGTATTTGTTTCTACTCCTAGCATGCCTCCATGGGAAGTATGTAGAACAAACTTTCCAAATCACTGATGGCAAATGGAATATTACATTTAACAATGTTTTCTTTTCCGCTTTGATGTAGTCATGTTGTGAAGTTTAATTCTATCTTCCTTTTTTATTGTGATTAACCAAATTGTCACCATCAGTTAGTATATTTTAAGTGTATACAAGAATGAAAACTGGCAGTTTGTAGCAGGAAGATACCTGTCTTGAGGTGCCTGACTGCATGTCTCAGAAATAGTCTTTATCATATTATTAAATGATTAGCACCATATGTAACTTGTCAGACTTGAAATAAAGTTCTTATATTTTTAAAGGAGACCATTTTTAGTCTTAGGAAAACTTACAATAGGTTTTTTTTGTTATTTTCCTCTCTAGACTGGAAAATAGGAATTTTGATGTAAAGAACTGGCAAATAAGTGTGCATATTTTTTAACAAAGGCAATACATTGCATTGAACACTTCTGCGTATGAAAAAGAAATTAAAGCATTGAAGAATTTATTATTCTTCCTTGTTTTCTCTAAGTAACTGTGGTGATTTATTATCCTGACTGATATAAGAGTGGAATTTCATTCTCTATTCACTTAAGAAATGGGATGATGAGTTGCTACCTAAGTAGAAATGATCTTGAGTCATTCTTGAAGTATTCTTCAAGTAGCATATATTGATGCCGAAGTGCATTGGTTTAAGGAATGTTGTAGATAATCTTTCTATATACTGGTAATTGGAGAAAATTGCTATAAATGTGTATGCTATAAATCTGTTTAGTATATTGCAAAAGCCACTCATGACCTGTAGGAAAAATAAATTACATGGCTTCCTAGTTATGAAACTTAACAGGGAAGTAGTTTGATTGTGATAGCAGGAAAGTGCTTTTCACCATGAAGGTGGTGTCTGTTCCATTTAGGACAGCATCCAGATGTGCTCATCAGGGATGATTTGTGCTAATCTTTGCCTATAGGCAGAGGAGAAAAGTGGTCCCAGAGTAGGATTCTGTTTCTCATTTGTGTGATGCTTACAAGCAGGATGAGCTTCTTGCAGTGTCCCTGTCCAGACTTGTTGGGAGAGGTGAGCTAAGCTAAATGTGCATCCGCGCTGGCTGTTGCTCCATTTGCAGAACAGTGCCATGGCTCTGATCTCTGTCCAGTGTGAGCTGTGCATTTAGGGCATCCACAGCACAAGCTTTTGAGATAAGAGGGATGCCCACGATCTCAATTCTGAACTCACCTCAGCATCTTGGCCACTTACTGCTGGAGTCCATGCTGTGTCTCCAAAATGCAGCATTGTTCTCATCCAGGAATAGCAATGTGTCTCGTCAAGTGGCACCCACTTCACTGTTAGAATAAAAGAATAAAGCAATAACCAACATACTGTTTTAAGCAACAACACATAATACAGCAGGAGACATAAATTACAAAACCATTTTTATATCATAGGTCTTGTAACCACGTAATCTCCTCTCTCCTATTCCACTGAAAGCACTGGAGGTGTGCTCTGTATATGTTCTTGTAATAGACTGCAACATTAGCGTTGCTGGAGGAATTGGATTCTCACTATTATAAATATTTGTATATCTGTATTCAAAAGATTCATTTTTCTTTGTTGTTTCACACTGCAGACTTTAAAAATTCTGATGCAGGGCTTCTAGAACTTACAGAAAGTACCTCTACGGAGTCAAATATCAAATTCGCTGAAATGTAAATAATTTTTGCTACTTTCAAGCACTTAGACTGTTATTCTGCAGACAAAATCTTGTGTTTAAGTAGCTTTGCTGTGGGCTGCTGTGTAGTATTGCCTAAGCTCCTCTATTCTCATCTCCTGCAGCTTTGTTTCAAGTGGTCCGAAGTAGAGCCTGTGACATTTTGAGATAAGTCTGTAACAGAACTAAGTTGCAGCTGAGCACTTGTAGTTTATATGCTCTGAAGTAATTCATCTGAAAAATTGTTCAGTGAGTGGAAATGTTCATTAGTCAACATCAGTGTGCTTCTCAGCATTTGCTGCAGGGAAGCTGAGCAGATGAAAAAGATGACAATAGGACAGTGAGCTATTGTAGTTTGGAAAATGGTAGCATAGCTCAGGTTCTTCCTCTGTCCTTACTGCTGCATCGGAGAAGTCTGTGAATGCTTCAGTTTATCACTGAATGCAAATAGAACTTAGAACTTATTTGCATTTAATGTCACGGATTTGCTGTGAATTCTTTTGCTTTCCTTTTTATTCATGTTCATATTTCACAGCTGGCTTAGGGGTGGAGGATTATGCTTTAGAAAATAAGAAATAAAAACCTAAAAAATTTCTATATTTAACCATTCCATGCAAAGTAGGGCTGTCATGGCTAAATCTTTCAGTACTTTAATCGTTTCTCATCTTGTTTTAAACTTTGCCAGATTCTGTGTGCTCCTTTAACAGAACTGTTAGTGACCGTTAGAACAGCACAATGCAGCTTACGCAGTTGTGTTGGCACAAGGCAAAGAATAAACCTCTGTTTGCAAGTGTCCATTGATTTCAATGGGCTTTTCAGAAGCTCTGCATATTGCAGTTCTTAGCACCTAGGATACATTCATATTCATTATGGCTGTGCAGTCCAGCCCCTGCTTGTGACTTGCTTCTCTCCACCCCTCTCTTCTACTGAAGCATGAAGTACAATTATTTCTGTCGTACTACTGAGGTGTGCTAGAAGATGTTACAGCTCTTTTCTCAGAGTGTTCAAATAGGCGTCTTTCAGCTTCTTCCATCTTGCCAGAAGCATGTTAAACAATAGAAATACTTAAAGCTTTTTGGACTCTTCCACGATGACTCGTGTGGCAGTTGAGACTGTGAGGTGCTGGGCATGTACGGCATGCAATCGTTTGTATGAGCAATTAGTGGAAGAAATAATTGGTATGTAGTGGTACCATCTTTGATAACATGAATATTTGCTTCTTTATCTGAATGTGTGGAGGATGGGAGGATTGGTACTCTCTATGCTAATTATATTTCAAATATGTTTTGTTTGCAAGTTGGCTTTGTTGTTGAAACACCGATTTAAACCAAAAAGCTTCTGGTGTGTGGAATGCTCGTGTTTTATTTTAGGAAGTAGTACTTGGCTGTCTCTTGAATTTAGACTTACTGATGTATCAAGTTTGTTTTTCATATGCATGCAAACAAACAAAACCAGTCTACTTGAAAATCATATTGCAAGAGGTTAGCACAATTTCTGTTTTATTCTCTCATGTAATTGCATAATGATAAGATACAATTTTCTTTGCTCTTATCCCTAATGTATGATTTAACATCCTTATGAAATAAAAGACTCCTGTTCAAAAAAAACAAACAAACAACAAAATTCCCAAACGTTTAACAGTATGCATTAATTGGACCCTCAATGTTTGTATGAAAGACTTCATGTTTCATACTTAATGTAATATCCCAGAAATGACAAGTTCAGACAGACGCTTAGTTTGAGCATTTGATTAATGCATTTATTGTTAATTTATGACATATTACCTTTGTAGATGAACCGACTAGTCCTAGTATTGACCATGATATTGCACACATTCCTGCTTCTGCTGTTATTTCTGCATCTGCTTCTCAAGCACCTGCTATAACAACTGTTCCTCCCAGTCCTACATCTCCAATTCCTTTAATTCGGCGACAGCTTTCTCATGATCATGGTGAGTGGTGATTTGATTTTCTTTCCGTGCTACTTTTTTCTTTTAACTCTCTGGAGATCAGGTGTGAAAATTTCAACCTCTTTACTGCTTGACATAAACTGTAGAAATGTGAGTCAGTTTTCTGCCATGTTAAAAAATTTCTACTTCCTTATAGAATCCATTAGGCCCAGTGTCCTGGATAGCCAGCCTGCCACAAAACCAGAGAGATCAAAGTCATATGATGAAGGACTGGATGACTATAGAGATGAGGAAAAATCGTAAGTTCATGAAAAAAGTCAGTTGATTTGGAATTTTTTTTTTTTTTAAGCTTGTAAAGTCTCATTTGAATATCTGTTTTTGTCCCAACAGGTCCATTAAGCATGTATCTAGCTTAAAGGGGATCAAGGTAAGTAAATATTTAACAACTCTTAAAAATAGTAAATATTACTGTGACAAGTTTTATGAATTATACAACTGACACATACAAAAGGATGTGTTAAAGACGCATGAATGTGATTGCTATTGCTATCCATCGAATTATTCTTAACTTGTGTTGATTGTTAAAATTGGATGTTACTGTGTGCTGTGCATATAACATAAGTAAACGTGGTTTGTTGTTTTGTAGGCTCCCCACTTGATCCTTGATCTTTCGTTTTCCTCAGCCTAAAGCATATCTATGGTGCCTCCAATAAAAGCTTAATAACGAGTCTGAGACTCCCATGCTGTATGTGTGTCTCATTCTTGAGACTGGCATGATCACTATTTTCGTACAGTCCTATGGAAACTTTAGATATCATATTTTGCCAGGGGAATATTCTTAGGGACATTTTCCTGAATGTGGTGCCAGCTTTTAAAGTTGAAGAACAGAAAAGTCAATTGGAAGGGACCTGCAAAGGTCAAGTCCAACTATCCAACCACTTCAGGTCTTAACAAAAGTTAAATCATGTTATTACGTCTTTTATCTAAATGTCTCTTGAACACTGAGAGATGTGATCTTGCATATAGAGATTATAGAGAAACTTGTTTAGAAGTACACTGCGTTTCTTTCTGTGATGTTCTCTTTAGGTCACAGACAGTCAGAAATCTTCCGAAGATTCTGGTTCCCGAAAAGATTCTTCTTCAGAGGTCTTTGGTGATGCCTCCAAAGAAGGGTGGCTCCATTTTCGTCAGCTTGTTACAGACAAAGGAAAGGTACCTTTCATGGTTTTGTTTTTTCATTCTATTTTTTAACCTGGCAAAAATATTAAGCTGGTGGATAGCTGAAGTAAGGAACTTGAAGCTTTCTGGTTATTCTTTCTTAGTAACATTTTTGAGATATGAACATCAATAAGACTAGGTTTTAGACCTGCTTGTTAGAAGATTTACCTTAATGAATTTCTTAGCTTCTTTTAGAGACTACTTTTGAAAGTATTGCATTTCTGTGAAATAAGCTGTTTTCTAATAACTTAAGTAGAAAGATCCATCCTGTAATAAATGTAGCTTGTGGCCTTCTTTCTCTTTGCTAATAATGAGAAGCTCTAGTATTCATGAACATTGTGGAGTTGAGTTCACATTAGCTTTCTGCATGTGTATGGGATAACACTTAAGAAGTGGGAATGTGGAATTACATAGTTATGTAAATGTTAGTCTGACTTGAATAACTTCTAGAAGACTGGGCAAGAATCCACTAAATATTTTTTTGCTGTGTTTATTTTAAAGCGTCTGTGAAATTCTGGTCACATTGTTACTGTCAATTGAACTCTCAGTAGGTAATCAGAGAGGACAGGCTATCTAACAGTTGTATTTTCTGACAGAGAGCAGTTAGTGAGTGCCACTTTTGTAAAAGCTTTCTGCAGGTCATTCTTAAGTATGCTATAGATAGTTTTTAAAGCTTCTGGAGATAGCTTATCTTAACCCAGAAACATTCATTGTAGCGAACAACCAAACTTACATACTGGTTTATATTTTTCAGCGAGTTGGTGGGAGCATTCGGCCATGGAAACAATTATATGTTGTTCTTCGAGGTCATTCACTTTATTTGTACAAGGATAAAAAGGAGCAAATGACCCCATCAGAAGAAGAACAACCTATAAGCATCAATGCTTGTTTGATAGACATCTCATACTGCGAAACCAAGAGGAAAAATGTATTCAGACTCACCACATCAGACTGCGAGTATCTGTTTCAAGCTGAGGACAGAGATAATATGTTAGCATGGATTAAAGCAATACAAGAAAACAGCAACTTAAATGATGAGGTAATTGTTATATTATTTTTAATACTACAGCAAAATTTGTGATTAAACAATTGGTCAAAATGTATGCAAGAGCATACAAGAAAATGTGGTAGGCAAGGTAGTTGGGTAAGTATACTGAGTTTGTTTTTTTTATTAAAGCTTCATTGTATTCTCATTATCAGTATTTTGAAATAAATGAATTAATTTAATTGCTGATTTGACTGTAGAAAAGCTTTATATTAAGATAATAAAAATCCCTAATGTATCAATCAAAAGCAATTGTAGTATAGAACAAATGTTCAGTCATCAGACTTGCATTGTAAAGTAGTGTGTGCAGTTGCATGGTGTGATAATTTTCTCAGTGATTAAAAATTGAAACTTTGAAGGATGGTCATTTTTTTTTATTAAATGTTGATGTTTTTATGAGTTGAATGTTAATGCTAAATACAAAGCAAGCATATGCTGTTCTATATAACATACAATATCTGTCCCAAAATGATCTTCAGTGCATTTTCATTTCAATGATGAACAACAGAGGACTGTTTTCATATTTGTGGGCATGCATATCTGTTTAATTCTGAAATAATTACCAAAATAACTATATATATATATATATATATACACACACACATTATATACATATATATATAAAATGTATTTGTCATTAGATGGAAAAAAGCATGTTTTGAATTCAGGGCTGTTTCAGCTGTATGTGTAGTAGTAACTGTGTGACTACTAAGTATATGTAAGATTTGATTTTTTTCATGGCAGGTTTTGTTGACTTGCATGTTTTCTATTTGAAGTAACTTCCAGTTTAACATGATTTAATCACATACCTACTGCTTTGAAAATAGTAACATCTAATGTGTAATTACTCACTTCAGTTTTCCTTGTGGTTTTCGAGTGTTCTGTGTTTATTTTTCCCAAGGACTGCCTGCTGAATTTTTAAGTGTACTGAAATGTTGTTTTTCATATGTGTTCTGTTGATGAGAGGAAGTAATGTTTTCTGAAAGTAAAAACTGTTGTATTTTGTAAGATTATAAAGTAGATCTCAATTCATTTTGTAGGACACTGGTGTCACTAGTAGAGACCTAATTAGCCGAAGGATTAAAGAATACAGTACAATGATGAGGTAGGTAAATTACATGCTGCCAGCAGTAGTTTTTGTATGTATGCTTATCTCGCTTCTTTTTACTAAAGTAACGTATCTTGCTTCAGTTCTTCAAGCAGCAAAACAGAGCCATCTCCCAAAACACCTCGTCAGAGCCTAAGTATCAGGCAGACTCTGCTTGGAACTAAAGCAGATCAGAGGACCCAGAGTCCACATTCTCCCAAGGATGAATCGGAGAGGAAGCTTCTCACTAAAGGTTTGCATGTTTCTTTCTTCTATTTTTTAATAATTTCTTTAGTTCCTCATTGCCCTACTATGAAGCTATCAGGGTGCTTTATTGAGGTTTTTCAAATTCAAGAATATACATGTGAAAACCAAGTATGAACTAGTGATTATAGCTGCAGCTGTATATATCCCTAACAAAGGTTCTCTTCCTCATTTCTGTGCTGCAGATTATGTAAGTAAATTGCGGATGTTAAGTAAATTCTAAATCTACTGAAATAGTATTTCCAAAAATAGTTGAGTAAGAAGTACTATTGTATTAGAAAATTTGCAGTACAGGGTGAATGGGAATTGTAACTTGTTACATGAGTTTTATAATGGAAATAAAGAGTTTAACTGAACTTTTAATCTGATTCTGTATAAATAATATTCTAAAGTGTTTGAGTCCCTTTTGGGACTGATTTGGAGCACCTGAAATCTGCTAATTACTGAAAGTAGGTCTGCACAATGTCAAATATTAGCATGGCTGTATTCATAGCTGTTTTGTATGTCATCATCACTCAGTAGTGATGTAATCTTACTTTAGGGAATGTTGCAGATTTTATTTTTTTATTGTAATTTATGTATATTTACTCTTGGAATAATACCTACTTCCTTTTTCTGAGCATGGGTATATTCAGATGCATTAGTGAGTTGCTGTGGGAAACTGGGCCAGGAAAAAAGGTTGAAAACAAGAAAGGATAGTGACATACTATTTTATTTTTTTGTAAATGTTACCTGTATTTGTAGTAACTTTTGTGACTTAAATGCCTTGATGTGTGTTCTTTGCTTTCTTATTTATGTAAACTAACAACAAAAAGATGAGACAAGCCCACCTAAAGACAAGGGGACATGGAGGAAAGGCATTCCAAGCATTATGAGGAAGACTTTTGAAAAGAAGCCATCTGCAGTAGGAACATTTGGTGTCAGACTAGATGACTGCCCCCCAGCACATACCAACAAAGTATGAAAGAATAGTTTTTCTTTCCAGTGTGATTTTAAATGCTTTTTTCATGTATACTTTAAGAATGTGTGTGTGTGTGTGCATATATATATACACATATATATATACGTACAAAATGTTTTTTTCTTCAGTATATCCCATTGATTGTTGATATATGCTGCAAACTAGTTGAAGAAAGAGGTCTTGAGTACACAGGTATTTACAGAGTTCCTGGAAATAATGCTGCCATCTCCAGTATGCAAGAGGAGCTCAACAAAGGAATGACTGACATAGATGTTCATGATGATGTAAGTCTTCAGTCACAGCATTTCTACTTTGAGCTTCTGAAAACTTCTAGTTGTGCTATGATTACAGAAATACAAAGACTATCTCATTTTCTTCTAATTGTTTAGAAATGGCGAGACTTGAATGTCATAAGCAGTTTGCTGAAATCTTTCTTCAGAAAGCTCCCAGAACCCCTTTTCACCAATGGTGAGTTGTTTACCTTAGCTTTTTTCTGTATGAGCTACTGTTGAACAGTTGTCATGAAACTTTCAGATGATTTGAGAGAAAATGCAGTGGAATGAATTCTGCAATAAATGCTTTTACTTCCTTGAAGAACAGGGAGTCACAGCGATAGAACTTAAAAACAAGAGCTGTAAATAGAATTTGTCTAATTGTACAATAATTAGTATTCAAATATTATGCCCAAATATATTTCAGTGTACTTGTTTTAATATTCTGTTTACTTTGATGCCAAAGTAAACAACCAAAACAAACCCATGCAAACCTTATTTTTTACTTTTGTTCTGTTGCTAATAGTGGTGGGGGAGGTGGATGGGTGAAACGCGGCAAGATTTTGGTATGAACTCTGATTTGGTGGTTATAGACAGATCTTATAATTTAGATTTTTAAAGTTCAACTAGAAATAGTAATGAAGAGGGAGCAACAGCAGAAGTTTTTTTTATGCCATGTTACGTCTGCACTATTGTTTTTCACAGTTGTCTTAAGTTTTTAAGTAAACCAAACAAAATAAACTTTTTAGGGGAGATTCTGAACACAGTCGTCTACTACCATAAGTTAGAGTGTCATGTTTCTCAGATTTGGGGAGAATTGCAGGGGTGAGTGCACAGAATGCAGCAGATGAGCATCACTGTTAAAACTATCCTGCGTGGTAAAGAGTAGATTAGATCAGTTTTTGGAGTTGGAATATATTTTTCTCATTAAGATTTAAGAACGAAAACATGAAAAGCTTAGATTTTAATGTGAAACAAAAATAAGTAATGCTTACAATTTCACTGTTGTAATGGTCTGTGAAGGCTGGTTTTTTTCCTCACTCTTACCTTACTGTGTTTGTATGCAGTATAATGGGTTAACTTAGTTTCCAGAGGTCTAACCTTTGTGATTGATTTCTGCTTTTTTAACAGACAAATATGCAGATTTTATAGATGCCAATAGAAAAGAAGATCCAGTTGAACGTTTGAAAACGCTGAAGAGACTGGTAAGCTGAAATCACGTGTCTTGTGTAGTATAGGTATACCTTTGTAGGTATACTACAAAATAAGCATTAAACATTTAATATTCTGAGCTGTGATTGTTTATTTCAGATTCATGATTTACCTGAGCATCATTATGAGACACTCAAATTTCTTTCTGCGCATCTCAAGACAGTAGCAGAGAACTCTGAAAAGAACAAGGTAATAAAAACAAAAGCATATATTTTGTTTTGATCCCTTTCATTAAGAGCAAGTTTTTGTGCATGATTATTTCTGTTGACTAAGTCTGTAACTTATTATTGTAGATGAGACTAAAACCTCTGTGATGTTGGAAGATTTTTTTATTACATCCCGTCAATATATTCATGTTTAGTGTGTATTAAGTTTATTCATTCAAACTGATGCTAGTTGTTGTGTGAATAACTGACTGCATCCTAGATTTATCCAAAGTCTGTAAATTTCATGTAATCCACTTAGACACCAGTAGGAGTATGTCTGGTCAGAGATTTCAATCAGTTTAAACTAAAAATTAATACGGCACATATTCTCAATATAAAGTGTAGAGGAATGCACAGTTGACTTTTAAGACAGCGTGAAAGTAGGTCTCTAATAGCACTCTTTTGTAAAACAAGAACTGTTTTTTGTTTTTTGTTCTTGTTTTTTTTTTTACTGTGCAAACTCCCATAAAATACAGTCCTAACTTTTATTAGATTTTGGAATCTTTCCGAGTAAAAAGTTAGGGACAAATCTTAAGTGAATGTCTATGACCTGAATGAACCAGTTGACAAAGGCTTGTTTGTATCAGCTTTGTGTGAAGCCTACATTCCTGGACACTGAAATCAATTGAAGAGTAAGATTTGCTATAATAACTCAAATAACTCAAAATTTGATCTTTTAGATGCTTTCGATGGATTTAAGAGTGAAAAAAAAGCATGACATGTAGGGTAGGAATCTTCTAATTAACACCTTTTGTCATTTCCACTGGTTGGAGACGTTGGCTGTTGTTAAGTGGTTCTGTATATGCTGTAATCCTACTATAAATGCAAATAATAGTATCCCTTTTTTTTCAGGGAAGCATAGATGAATGCAAAGCTGTGCAGTATGAATGTGCTTATAGGTGCTCACATGAGGGTAGATGGCATGATGCCTTGTTGCAGGGATACAGTAAAAAAAAAAAAAAAAAAACCAAAACACTGATTTATGTGAAATAGGTGAACTAAGGCCAACTTTAAATCAGAACAGAAAATTGCAGAATCATTAAGGTTGGAAAAGGACCCCTAAGATCATCTAGTCCAACCATCAGTCCATCCCTACCATGCCAGCTAACCATGTCCCTCAGCACCAATGTCATATTTAAAATAAAATTGGCAGGTTCCATTCTAAAAATGAGTAGACCCATCTGTGTTTATATAGATAAACAAAAAAATAGAACCTTTAGTGTTACTACAGTTAACATTTTAAGAAAGTGATAGTAAATGCCATTAAGTCCAAAGCAAACATTTATCATCTTATGTTTTCATTGTATTGCATAAATATGGTTTAAATAATATAAATACTATCAAATATATAAGGCTGGGGGAATAAGGTTGTGTAGTAGCATGACATGTTGAAGGCCACAGTTCACATCAAAGTGAGCAGCAGGGCCTTGGGTCATTCTCTTTGAAACTTCCTTCTTGTAAGAGCAAGAACATTTTCAGCCTAGCATTAAGTCAGAGAAGTAAGCATGAATAGAAGATTACTGTTTTGCTTCTGCTTTCTTGCCATTATTTGACAGAAATGTAACTTCAAAAGGGAACTAAGTGGATGATGAAAGTTGTGACATTACTGGACTTAACTCTATGAGTAGTTGTGTTGGGTCTGTCATTTTGGGTGCTGCCACATTCTTGGTAGTAAATGTGAATTGAATGAGTTCTTGGTCAGTAGGTATAGCATGCCATTTGTTTACTGTCTGTCTTACCCTGTTTGTTTACAGGGAATTACCGATGTCTTTGAAAAATTTTTCTTCTGTTCTATTTAAAAAGAAAAAGCCTTTTTTTTTTTGAAGCATAACAGTCTTTTTCTGAGTTTTTTCCTTGTGGAGCTATCCGTTTGCCATGGATTTTGAATTTCAGAAGAGTTGGATACATTCATTACATCTGTGTTTGGAAGATTTTATTGTAGTGTAAATTCTTACCTGAGTCAGTAATGTGTTTTTAAATAAATTTTATTTGTCCTTTTTAAAAATGATTCTCAAATATCAATTGCATTGTATTAAAATATTGAGTTTATATTGTTGTATTTTCTCATTTACATCACATGTGATATGTGGAAATTCTTAATTTCTTAGATGGAACCAAGAAACCTGGCAATAGTGTTTGGTCCAACGCTTGTGAGGACATCCGATGATAACATGACACACATGGTTACCCACATGCCAGACCAGTATAAAATTGTAGAAACACTCATCCAAAAAGTAAGTGGGCGATTTTCATTATTTAAAGAGTAAGTTCATACACAGATCAGCTCTCTCTTATTGGGCCACTTTGGGTCTGGTATTTATCCTTTGAACTCCAGGCTATAATTTTCAGTCCATGTTTGATTGTTCCCCTTTTGGCTTTTGTGTTTCTTGTGGAGTTTTCACCGTTTTTATTTTAAATTGTAGCATGACTGGTTTTTCACAGAAGATGATGCTGAAGAACCCCTTGTAAGTATTGTGGCATAAATATTTGCATTCTGATTACCTTAGTTTAGAAACTGCTTCTGCTTCCTCTAGAATGTCTGTACTTTTTTTTATTGCATCACTATATGGTTTTCTCTTCAAAAGTACCTCTCTAGTCCTTGCAATAATTAATTAATTAAAAAAAAAAAAAAAAAAAAGCCACGCATTTGTTATAGAAAGCATAGAGCCAAATGGGAAAATAAGAATATATGAGGAAAGCGTGTCCTCAGGTGAATGATGCAATTTTCTAAATGCTTTTGAATCATAATGACCTATTTGTGAAACGATGATGAAGACATCTTTGTTTGTTAACTATAGACAGCAGTACAGGAGGAAAACACTGTAGAATCTCAGCCAGTGCCAAACATAGATCATTTACTCACCAACATTGGAAGAACGGGAGTGTCTCCTGGAGACGTATCAGGTAACAGCCTGGACAGTGCTAGTCCGTAGGCTAGAATAATGTACTCTGTTAACTCACTGTAACTCTTTCACTCTATTTTCTTTTACTAATAAATTGTTTTTCTCTTTTCTTAAAGATCATTAACACTTCTTAGAGATTTGAATTGTTGGTAATCATGCATGATATGTTAGAAAACTTTGTCTAACAAGAGTATAATCATTAAAAGATGAGGTTTGCATGTTCTATTTTATTTATTCACAGTAACTCATGCAATCATCCTTGTAAGGTGAAGCAGATACGCTGCTGTAAAGGGGTGTGTTGTGATGGCAGAAAGATTGATCTCCAGTGGGGTTCTAATATTGCTCATTAGGAATGCGGAAAATTATGTTTTTCTTGTCAAGTGGGGGACCCTTTGCATATGTTGCAGTATAACTATACTAAAGTTGATTTCCTTCTGTTTATGAATGCCATCCTCTTATGTGGCTAAGGACAAGCAATGCAGGCTCTTTTTTGGTGACTTTTTTCCCCCTTCCCTTCACTATACTGTTGCACTAACCCAGCATGTTGTATCCCACAAATGCTCTCCCTTCGTCTCTAGCTTTTGTTTCAGTTTTCCAAGGGTTGCTCAGCACTTACTGAAGCAGTCACTTTATACTGATGTTGTAACAGGCGAAGTGGGAGGAGTCTATCACACGGTGATGTCATTAGTGGATTCTGTGATGTCACTGATGGACAGCTGGAACTGTAGGAAGAAGGAGGACTGTTGCCCACACTGTAGCTGCCTTGTCTGCAGAAACCCCCGTTTCTTGTAAATGGAAAACCAAAAAGTTGATCTGTGCTGTAAATTTTCTTTTAAGAGTATTTTAAACAGATCAATGCTACTTTTTAAAAGTTTTTCTGCTGTTTCTTGTTATCTCTGAAGCAGACCCTGAGGAGAAATAGCATGGTATGGTCTACCAGTCTTTCTAGTCATAAAGCATTAGCCATGTGTCAAAAAGGGGTGTGGCAGGGGGCTCAGCTCTTTCTTCCTAGGGAGCAAGTTCCTAAAGGTGGAACAGCATCCAAGTTCATATTTTTTAGTTGCTGTGCTAGCCCCTTCCTACCCCCTTTATAATTGTATAATCTTGGGTTTTGCGAGACAGTGAAACTATGGTGTCCATTTTTCATTTCATAATAGCGCTTGTTATAGAAATGTACAAAACTGGTAGCTGCTGAAATCTAGCTGATTTACAAATAAAATTCCACCTCTATCTAGTCCCAGGTGAAGAGAGATACGTAATTGGGGTTTTACACGCAAAATACAACTTAATACCTTTAAAAACTCAAGTCTCCCAAAAAGAATATGATTGCACGAACCACGATTTGTACGTAGGGCAGTCAGCAGTGATAAGACATTCAATTTTGCTCTGTGTATCCTGAATCTCAGGAGGGTACACACTACAATCCTGAAAAGGTCTCTCAGCTGCGGTTTTGCAGGGGCTGTCTACCTAAAACATTGAATAAACATTAGTATTTCTGTTTTTTGTTTTTAATTTAGAAGAACAGGGCTCCTTTGCCATTCCTATCATTGAGCTGATTCTGCCTACAATTCACAGCATCTTTTCATGGCGGTGGCTTTCTGTGGTGCAGCTTGCATCTTTGTGAGCTCTGATTATTCACTCTGTTCTGGTTTTTATTTGCTTCACATTTTGTTCTGTGCTTGTCTTTTTCCATAAGTCCAGCATTGTCTGTAGCAACAGCAAAAAAAGAAAATTGCACAGAACTGAGCAGAATTGTTTTTAATTTTTCCACAGATTCAGCTACTAGTGACTCAACAAAATCTAAGGTAATGTATTTGCTGAAGTGGTGTAGTTGTAACCTTCAGAGATGTGATGGATATTTGCTTGCTTTATTAGAGTGCTTCTATGAATGTGCACTATAGAACTAGGTAGATTATTCTTTTAAACAAGTGATAATACCATTTTCCCAGCAGCAACTTATTCTCTAAAAAGGTACCCCGCTTACAGGAGTCCCTTCCATAATGAAGTCCCAGGTTTTTTTGTTGAAAGTATTTCCGTGGTGACTGTTCCCCCATGTCTCCCTCTCTGAAATGCTGCATCAGTAACAAATGATTGAGATTTCAGGACCTTTATTAAGCATAAATCCTTTATTGCTGGTCTGAGTCTTTCTTCAGCTCAGAGGGAGAGGCTGTCTGACTGAACACGGACATCTGAGCTGTTCTTGCTGAGACCTTGGCACAGATGTCAGGTTTCAGTCCAGCTATGTTCAAGGTCCCCTGATGTAAGCAACTGCCCTATATTGTCTCTTTCTTGAATGTTTGCAGTGTACAGGCCACACTGGTCAGTAGACAGAGACAAACATGTCACTTTGATAAGTCTGTGAGGGAGCAGGAAAGTGTATGGATTTGAGGTGGCCAGTTGATTTAATGAATTCTACAAATCACAATAAGTGGACTCATCTTTTTTGCTTCTTTGTGATTCTAAAGGCAGATGCCTTGAAGGGCAGGAAGAAATTTTTCTGTTAATTTTCTGTAATTGCACCTAAATTTGGGTTTTCTGTGGCTTTTGTTGTATTGGTACTATTGAATGGATATAAATTTAAAACTCAGAAACTGAAAGGTGAAAAATCAACTGAAAAACAGTTTGAGAAATTTAAACTTCTCACATAGGGAGGGAGGTAGAGACTGAAACCATACTGTTGTGACCTCATCTGTGAAGTACTTTTTGTTACAAAACAGTCTTGAAAAAGCTGTCTTGATTAATGGAGCCTGCTTTATTAGTCAAAAATTAAGTGGCTGTGCATAAAAACAAGTGTTTGTCGAGTTGAAGGGACTCAACAAGTGGAATTTTCAGGATGAAAATTGTCAACCTGGGCGGTATCATGTCAACTACGTGACAAGGAAATATCTCCTGAATGAAGAATATTTCCTGAACAGAGACAGGCTTTCTGCTCTGAAGCGTAGGAGATGTTTTTAAAAGTCTCATGCTAATGGATATTTCTTTGTGATTTTTTATCATGCCTTATGTCTTGTTGTTGTTGCTTTTTAAACAGGGTTCTTGGGGTTCTGGAAAGGATCAGTATAGCAAGGAACTGCTTGTGTCCTCCATTTTTGCAGCAGCTAGTCGCAAGCGGAAAAAAACAAAAGAGAAACCGCAACCGAGTAGCTCAGAAGATGAGTTGGATAATGTGTTTTCCAAGAAGGAGCTTGCAGAACAATCTCGGGGTGACGCAGCAAAAGAGGACACAGCTAAAGGGGAATATGAAAAAGAAAGAGATGCAGGGAGAAAACAGAGGATGTTTGTCCTGAAGGAAAAAGAGAACAGCAGTAAAAAAGATGTGAATGTTGTAAAGGATGAAAAGAAGTCGTTAAGGAAAGAGAGCGTCCTGTCAGAGGAACCTTCACTGCCTTACCATGAAAAACGTACAAAATCACAAAGTCTCAGTTGTCAGCAAACTGCGCAGAAGGATAACCCTAAAATGCCCATTTCCCAGTCTTCTTCCCAGGTTGAAGAGACGGTGTCTGACTCTGGCACTATGCTTAGCACTTCCTCTCAGGCTTCCCAGCACAGATATTCGTGCAAAAAGGTAGCCAGCCCTGAAATTAAACACAGTGAGTTTTTAGCAGCTGATGTCAGTTCCATCACCTCAGATTATTCAACAACTTCATCCTCTATATATATAACTGGCTTAGACGCCAGTATGCTGAGCCCTGAAGTGCAGTCAGTAACAGAAAGCAAGGGAGAAGATGCTGATGATGAAAGAAGTGAGCTGATCAGCGAAGGGCGTCCTATGGAGACAGACAGCGAGAGTGACTTCCCTGTCTTTGCCACCAGCTCTGCTGCTGAAAGGCTGTCCAAGGGGAAAGTTTCTGAAGTGTTTAAGAGCAGTCGGAGGAACTCTGAGGAAAGCGAAGTAAGTTGTACTGAGGGAAGTTCAACACCAAAGTTAGAGAGTCGCAGACTTTTTAGCTCACACAAACTTATTGAATGCGATACGCTGTCCAGGAGAAAGTCTGCACGGCACAAAACGGACAGTGAGGGTTCTGGGGATGCGAAGAGTGAGAAGGACTTACCTACTGTGACCAAAATGTTTGATATAATGAAAAAAGGAAGATCGACAAGCAGTTTAGCTACGTCAGCCAGAAGTGAGACTGACAAACAAGAACCTACCTGGAGACTAAAAATTACAGATAGGTTAAAGCTGCGGCTCAAATCATCTGCAGATGACATGTTCGGAGTTGGGAATCAAAAGGCTAACTCTGCCGAGACGGTGAAGAGGAAAAATATCAGGCGAAGGCATACGCTTGGAGGACAGAGGGATTTTGATGAAATAAGTGTCCTGAATGTTTGGAAAGTTCAAGAGCCGAGTCATAGTAGAGAGAGAGAATCTGAGCTTTCAGCTGTGAATCGTCTGAAGCCAAAATGTCCAGCCCAGGACCTCTCAATCTCAGACTGGCTTGCACGAGAACGTTTACGCACTAGCACAACTGACCTTAATACGGGTGAAACTGGAAAGCCCAGACTTGAGAACACTAGCTTAGCAGATGCATCAAAGGTAGATCTGCCTCTATCTGCTGAGATGCAAGCAGATGAAGGCAGTTCCTCCAGCAGCTTGACTTCAATCAGTAGAACACCACCTTCGGGACCATTTCAGCCACCAGACCAGGTAAATGGTGAAAGTTATCAGAATATGAACAAAAACAACTTCAGCCCAGCAGTTGATGCCCACCCTCATAAACTGTCTGGGACCCAAGTGGTTAGATCTCGATTCTACCAGTATCTTTGAAATGGGGAGATATGTCCACTACAGCAATTCATTAACTTAATGTTACGCTTCCCAGTAACTGTGTGTATGTGTGTGTGTACATATATATATATTTTTTTTTTCCTGTACTGTTGTTGTTATGCAGCCTTCATTTGGGCTGGTTTCATCAATATGCTCTGTGGAACGTCTTCACAGTGCATTACCACAGCCAGAAGAACACTAAAGGTAAAGTGTGTGTGTGTATATATATACATATATATATATATATATATATATATTTTAAGAAAAAGTATATTTGATGGCTGCATACAAATGTTGAACAAAGCATCTGATGCAACAAGCTGTGTAGTGTATACATGGTTTTCTGACCGAGACTTGGCCTGGCATTAGTATGCAGAAAAAATGTTCTTTTGGTTTAGTCACTAACAAGTGCCTCATCATAAATTCATTTGGTTTGTTAGGGTGCCATATTGTTAAATTAGAGAAACTTACTACAAACAAATGAATGCATTTTACTGTTAATGAGTTTCATTACATTTTACAAATGTTAACACAGGTGGCTACAGAGCTTCCATTCCTTAGGCATTCCAGTAAATATTGGAGTTTTATATTTCCAATTTTAATACAGATTTTGAGTTTTATGTGACTTGAATTTTTAATCTTTCTGTAAAATAAGTAACTTAAATGTACATACTACATGTGTATCTTTTCTTCAGATACCAGATTTGATATAAATGTTGTAACATAGGCGTGTAGATAGTGGATACTGGATGGAACTGGTTTCTTTTATTGAGAATATAATTCTGCATGAAGACCTAATGAATCCAAACCTGTATCATGCCTGTGTGCATACCCACTTAAACACTGGAAATAAAATTGTTTTGGTGATTCTTCGCATGATGTGAATTCATTTTAATGATGGGTTTTAAAATGTCTTAGCGAGTTGCTTTGTGTGTAATTCAGTGGTTTTGGAACACTGAAGAAGCACATCCACAATCTTCCCAATCTTCCTCAAGTTCAGAAAATGTTAATAACTGCTGGCCTAAACGGTCCATATACTTATGGGTTTGAGACTTCGTGTAGTTTTAACTATTAAGATGGGTTTGTACCCTAAAATCCCTCCTGTGTGTCACCTCTTCACCAGTTACATTTTTTTCTTCTATTTCCTTGTGCAACTATTTGAAAACAAAGCAGCTCTTCATTCCTTTGCCTATTCTCCTCTCTTATTTAACAGCTGTTGTCACCAACTTGGCAGAGGATCATACCTGTACTGATGTTAAACATTGTGAGCATAGAAAAACTTGTTCCTACACGTCTCCCATCAGTGAGAAGGAATGATAGGGGCCAGGATGTATGGGTAGATGAGGTTTCACAGATTTCCTTTCCGTTCTAGAAAGACTCCTTAACAGTCCCATGTTTGCATCTACTGTGTTACTGTTCCCATATCAAAACCTGTGAAAAAAAAGCATCTGACACAACAGTAGATCTGTACAAGTTCTCACCATATGATTGTGTTGGGTCTCTGAACCTATTACCAATTCACCTAAAAGTGAACCATGTTCTTGTGCTTTTCTTACAGACTTAAAATGCCCGTTCCTTTAGCACAAGCAGGCGAATGGTACAGTAGCAGCATTTGCATGACTTGTAGGCTGAAGCAGGTATGTTTTGTAAAATGTACAGTCATAATTGTATTGGCTGACTATGCTCCAGGACACAAATCTAAAGCCTTGCAGGCTGCATGGTATCTTCTGATGCTGCACAGAAGCGGCAGAGAAGTTGGACTCAGGGTAGGAATGTGAACGAGCAGGCAGGTGGGCAAAAGACATGGACACTGGTGGGAGTGTAAGAAGGGGATTATGGCAGTTCAGGCTGCAGTTTCCTGTGTCTTTCATGTAAAGCAGGTCGTCTTGGAGGAAACAGGCTGGCAGAAGTTGGGCCTGGGGAAACCTCTGATGTGAAGGGCCGACAGAGCTGAGTGTGGGGATACAAGGAGAGATCTGTCGCTAGGTCATGTGGAACTAAGACATGGCCACAGTCCAGACAGTTTAACTACTTTTGTGGGGGCTGCAGTGTGGAAGGAAAATCTCTTGTGGATCTGCATATAGAGGCTTTTCCCTGGCTGCAGCATGATGAGGATTATCAGCACTGCTGATGATATGGATCTGGAAGGAGTGGCTGACACATTAGAAGGCTGTGCTGCCATTCAGTGAGATCTGAACAAGGCAGAGAGTTGGCAGGGAGGAACCTGACGAGGTTCAAGAAGAGCAAGTGTACACCTTGTGTCCTACACCTGGGGAGGAATAACCACATGCATCTGTATAGGTAAGGGCCTGACCTGCTCTGTGAGAGGAGCTCTGCGGAGAGAGGTTGGCCATGGGCAGCAGTGTGCCCTTGTGGCCAAGAAGGCCAATGGTGTCCTAGGGTACATCAAAAAGAGCTTAGCCAGCAGGTTGAGGCAGGTGATCCTTCCCCTTCTCTCTGCCCTGGTGAGGCCACATATGGAGTACTGTGTGCAGTTCTGGGCTCCTCAGTTCAAGACAGGAACTTCTAGAGAGTCCAGTGGAGGGTGACAAAGATGATGAGGGACCTGGAGCATCTCCTGTATGACAAAAAGCTGAGATACTTGGGGCTGTTCAGCCCAGAGAAGACTGAGAAGGTTGGTACTAATGTTTACACATACCTAATATTAGTCATCTAATAGTTTTGACCATATTCAACCCATTTGAATGCCTACACATGCAACCTGCTGTAGGAAGCATGTTTCAGCATTTGCCATGGAGACGTGCATCAGAGCAGGTAAGACTGCGCTGGGCAAGGGATCTGGAGTAAAAGAGACCGACCAAAAAGCTCTTTTTGGGGCTAGTTTGAAGCTAGCAGTAGTGCCGTGCTCCTACTGGGGAACTAGCAGCTTGTGGGTGGGACCTTGACTCGGCAGGGGTGGAGCCGGCTCGTTAGCAGCTCAATTTAAACCCCTGCCCTTAACGTTTGCACCTGCTAATAAGTAGTTCACACCTTCTAATAATCTATAAATAGCATCAGGGAGGGCAGAAGATATCTACTGCCTACACAGCAAAGCAGGCGAGTAACCATTGTTTTGGCCTATTGAGAACAGGGAGGCTAACGTGGTTTCCACCAGACAATGAGTTTATTCCAAGACGACTGTGGCGACCCAGACGGAGGGACTGCTCAAAAATGTGGCTGTTCAGGTCTCTGGCTGCTGGGACTGCTTGAGCCTGCTGCTACCTGGGGAAGGTGGCAGGGATTCCACCTGCCTGAGGTGTGAGCAGGTGGGTGAATTGATCCAGCTGGTGGTTGAGCTCAAGGAAGAGGTCCCAGAGACTTAGGACTATCAGGGAATGTGAGAGGGAGACAGACTGGTGGAGTGACTCGCTGGCATGTCAGAGGAAAGGGTGCCAGGGAGACACCCTCACAAAAGTGGTGGACCCCCAGCCCTGTCAGAGTAGGACAGACCTGACTGATGAGGAGGGTTGGATGAGAGTCCCTACTTGATGTCATGGGAACACCCCCCGCCTGCCTGCCCCGCTTCCCCAGATCCCCCTTAGCAACAGGTTTCACATGCTGGAAATTGAAGGTGAGGTGAGTGATGAGGTGATGGAGGAGTTGCTGAGTAGGGAGAGGCAGCCACCCCAAGACTGCCTGTGTCAGGAAAGAAAGAAGGGTGGTCATGGTGGGTGACTCCCTTCTCAGAGGAACGGAGGGCCCCATATACAGACCAGACCCAAGCCGCCGAGAAGTGTGCTGCCTTCCTGGGGCCCAGGTCAGGGACATAACCAGGAAAATACCAGGAAAATACCAAAACTGGTGAGGCTCACTGGTTACTTTCCGTTGCTCATAGTTCTGGTGGGCAGTGAGGAAATTGCTCAGACAAGCCCACGGACAATGAAAAGGGATTTCAGGGGTTTAGGGTGCTTAGTTCAAGGTGCGGGAGCACAAATAATCTGTATTCTCAGGGGCAGTGTGGGACTCGGAATGGGCATGGAAGGTGCAAACAATGAATAACTGGCTCAGAGGCTGGGGCCGAGCCAGAAACTTTGGGTTCTTTGACCATGGGGTAGTTTACTTGGCCCCTCGCTTGCTGTCCAACCATGGAATCCACCTATCTCAAAGGGGGCAACAAATCTTAGCTCAGGAGCTAGTGGGGCTCATCGATAGAGCTTTAAACTAATTATGATGGGAGAAGGGGACAGTACAGGCCTCACAGGAGAAGAGCCTAGGGGAATGATATTTGAGCTCGGAGTGAGGCAAATGACTCAGCTGAAGTGCATCTTCCAATGCACGCAGCATGAGCAACAAGCAGGAGGAATTGGAAGCGATTGTGCATCAGGCTAACTATGATTTAGCTGCTATTACTGAAACATGGTGGGACCGCTCCCCTGACTGGAGTGCTGTGATGGATGGCTACAAGCTTTTCAGAAGGGATAGACAAGGAGGGAAGGGTGGTGGTGTGGCCCTTTATGTTAAGACTGTTTTGATGTTGAAGAGCTTGAGGTTGCAAATGATAACATGGAGTGTCTATGGGTGAGGATCAGGGGGAAGGCCTGTAGGGGAGACATCTTGGTTGGGGTCTGTTATAGACTGCTGAATCAGGATGAGGAGATGGACAAGGCGTACTACAAGCAGCTTGCGGAAGTCGTGCGATCGCCAGCACTCATTCTCGTGGGGGATTTCAACTTCCCTGATATATGTTGGAAATATAATATGGCTCAAAGAAGCAGTCCAAGAGGTTTCTAGAGTGTGTGGAAGATAGCTTCCTTACACAGCTGGTACAAGAGCCTACCAGGGCTAGACCTGCTCTTTGCTAATGGAGAGGGACTGGTGGGTGATGCAAAGGTTGGGGACTGTCTAGGGCAGAGCAGCCATGAAATTGTAGAATTCTCTATTTTTGGAGATGTCAAAAAGGTGACTACCAAAACTGCTATCTTGAACTTACTTCAAGAGGGCAGACTTTGACCTGTTCAGGACGCTTGTAGCACGGGTCCCTTGGGAGTCACTCCTTAAGGGTGAAGGGGTCCAGGAAGCCTGGACTTTTCTCAAGATGGAAATCTTAAAGGCGCAAAAACAGACTGTCCCTGAATACCGTAAGGCGAGCCATAGGGGGAGAAGACTGGTGTGGATGAGCCGGGAACTACTGTCGAGACTCAGGAAGAAAAAGAGAGTCTATGTCCTCTGGAAGAAGGGACAGGCTACTAGGAGAGATAACAAGGAAGTTGCTAAGGTATGCAGGGAGGAAGTCCGGAAGGCAAAAGCCTATCTTGAACTCAGATTGGCCACTAAAGTAAAAGAAGACAATAAAAAATCCTTTTACAAATGTATCAATGGCAAGAGAAGAACCAAGGATAATCTCTATCCTATAATTGATGCAGTGGGAAATGTGACCACGGAAGACAAGGAGAAGGCTGAGGTCCTCAACGCCTTCTTTACATCTGCCTTTAATAGTCAGACCAGTTATCCTCAGGGCACTTTGTGCCCTGATCTGGAAATCTGGGCTGATATGCAGAATATCCCCCCAGAGATTCAGGTGGAGGCAGTTAGGGAGCTCCTCCTCCATCTGGACTGTCACAAGTCTAGCTGGCAACCTTTTTCAAGTGGTGTCCCCCAGGGGTCAGTGCTGGGGCCCCTCCTGTTTAATATCTTTATTGACAACTTAGATGAAGGGATTGAGTGTACCCTGAGTAAGTTTGCAGGTGACACCAAGTTGGGAGGTGGTGTAGATCTGCCTGAAGGTAGGGAGGCCATGCAGAGGGATCTAGATAAGCTGGGTCGCTGGGCTGAGGTGAATGGGATGAGGTTCAACAAGGCCAAGTGTCGGGTCCTGCACTTTGGCCACAATAACCCCATGAAGTGCTACAGGCTTGGGGATGAGTGGTTGGATGACTGTGAGGAGGAAAGGGGACCTGGGGGTGTTGGTTGATGTTCGGCTGAACATGAGCCAACAGTGTGCCCAGGTGGCCAAGAGGGCCAACGGCATCCTGGCCTGCATTAGAAATAGTGTGGCCAGCAGGAGCAGGGAGGTGATCATCCCCCTGTACTCAGCACTGGTGAGGCTGCACCTTGAGTATTGTGGTCAGTTTTGGGCCCCTCACTACAGGAAGGACATTGAGGCCCTGGAGCGTGTCCAGAGAAGGGCAACAAACCTGGTGAGGGGTCTGGAGCACAAGTCTTATGAGGAGCGGCTGAGGGAGCTGGGATTGTTTAGTCTGGAGGAGGCTCAGGGGAGACCTCATGGCACTTTACAACTTCCTGAGGGGAGGTTGTGATGAAAAAGGGTCTGGCCTCTTCTCCCAGGCAAATAGTAGGACCCAAGGAAATGGACAGAAGTTGTACCAGAGGAGGTTTAGGTTGGACATTAGGAGAAACTTTTTCTCTCAGAGAGAATGGCCTGCCTGGGAAGGTGGTGGAGTCACCGTCCCTGGCAGTGTTCAAGAGGTGCCTGGATGAGGAGCTACGAGATGTGGTTTAGTAGCTTGTGGTACTAATAGGAATGGGAAGGCAGTTGGACTAAATGATCTTTCAGGTTGTTTCCAATCTTGTGATTCTATGATTCAGCAGGAGATGATCAACAGAAGTTCCTTTAAACCTCTATGACTCTGTGGTTCTATGAAAACTCCTTGCACATGGGAAGAAGGAGTTTGAAATGTGTCTTCACTTGCTATAAAGATCTGTGCTCTTGCTTTTAAAGCTATGTCCTTGCACAGTCATCATTTAGGTAGCAATCAAGCACTGAATTATGCTAATTAGTATAAAGAAGGATGCGGTTGGACACGTACCTGGGAGAGGAAAGGACTGACGTAGCATGGAGCATTGTGCAAGTGGTGCCCGGAGGTAGAGTTTGCAGTCTTAAGACTGAGAAGCTGCTGCCTTAATCATGTCACTTTACTGGTGAGTTTTAAAGCAGGTAGGGAGAGCTGCCACTCAGCAAGGAGTCAGATGGATTTCAGCCCTGAGCACCTGGAGGCAGAAAGGCTGCGCACATCCTTCATGGCTGGTACCCTGCTGCATGTGTTTGCAGTTCTTTTTGGACACGAAGCAGCTGGGGTTTTTAGCACTGAGCCCCCTGCTGTGGTGGTTCTCATCCCTAACTGAGGCTGCTGGTCTTCACCAGAACTGCCTCTCTGCGCTTTGTGGACAGCTGAGAAGGCAGAGTTAGTGGCTTAATAGTCACTAACCTGGGTTGAGGAGCAAGGTACACAGAGCTGCTGGGCGAGGTGTGTGGCGCAGGGCAGAGCAGAAACAAGGAAAGGGACACGGCAGCTGGCTATGACTGGCTCACAAGGAACTGCTCATATCTGGTCACCAAGGACCAGATATGTCTATTGGCTCCTTGGGAGACATCAGCCCACAGCTGTTCTGCAAAGGCTGGGAGATGGCTGGAGCCCAGCACCCCACTGAGAGTGTGTTGTGCTGTGCTTCGATTTGGCTTTGCAGCTCCTGGACTGTGCTGGACTCTCAGCCTGCAGGCATGTCCCCTTCACAGGGGACCAGTACAAGCACTGCCAGAACACGAGTCTGTTCCTGTCCATGAGGTACGAGTTGATGTTTGCATACATCACGAGTTGATGTTGCATACCATTCCCACCACATGGGATGCACCCTCTGAAGGCTCAGCCTTGAAATGAGTTTCAAGAAATCTCCTGCTCCCCTGTGAGGAACAAAGCAGAACAGGAAGGGCAGACAATCCCTCATTACATCTTTTCTAAGGCTCAGGTGCTCCCTTTTTTTCTTGCTGCTTTAAGGCCAACAACCCTGCTTATGACCACTAAAAAAATTATTAGTGACAAAGTAGAAAACATAAGCATGCAGCCCTTTATTTCTGTAAAGATCTTTGCTTATCATAGTTCTGTATATTACATCAGGGTGTTATACAAATAAATTTATTTACAAAACCATGAGCTCTGCAAGCTTGTTGCTTTTTCTCCTATGATGTGACCATTACCCGATCTGTTTCAGCCCTGTCCCATATATATTTTGAAAGCATGCATAAAAATTAACTTTGGTGTGGTAAAACTACTCTATGTGCCCAGCCACATACAGTATTTATTTATTTATATCTATTTATAGTTATGTACAAAAGTTTGCCAGTATACAGAACAGTACAGAAGTGTACATTTTAAAATCCACAATGCAATACATTAATGGGTTACCAGGTCTCAGTAAAAGAAAGCCAAAGGAAAAGGGTGAATTTAGCTAAGAAAGAAAATAATGATCGGCAACTCCCTACGTGTGTAAAACTATTTTTTTCTTGGCTTGGCAAATTCTCAAATATACTCTGAATGGCAGTGCAATAGGTTGAGTTGCCTCCTGTGCACTAAGACCAGTCTCGTTCTGTCTCTGGTGCAGAGGTTTACTGTCCAGCATACTACTTTCAAATGTACATTACATTAGTATCAAAATGTTTTGGCAAAAAGATCTCGAAAGGAACCGTGACGTTGGTTGACAAAAATAGAAATCTGTAACAAAGCTAAATAACACCAAAATAAAAGAAAAATATTTCAGTTTCAGTTTTACAATTGTGTATAATCACACTTTTTAGTATATCTCTGTTCACGTCTAGTCCCCATACTGAAAAATAGCTTCATACAAAACCGCTTACTAAACGTCAGCCACACATGTAGCCATGCTCAGCGCACCGCTGCGTGCACTCGGGCTCACACACACACACACACACACACACACACACACATCGCCACGCTTTTTTGCAACAGGTGCTGCCTACAGAGGGAAAACGCTCTTCTATCATTACAACAGCAACAAAAGGTTTACAAAAAAGCTTCACTCTACTCTAGTGTAGTAACTCAGTATTTAGCACGTGGTTAGTATTAAGCCTCCAGCGATACAGCAAAACGGTTACGCTCCCTGGTTAAAGCAGCGGCTGCAGGAAAGGAGCAGCAATCCAGCGCTCAGCCTCTAGGCCGGCTCCTTGGCCGCGGGGGAGGCGGACTTGCCGGCATTTCCATTCTGCGCCTTGTAGCTGGTGAAGCTAGGAGTGTGGATGGTCCTGATGCTCTTCACACCTTGGTTCAGTGAGGTGGGAGAAGTGGAGGACGGGGGGGAGGTGGAGGAGGAAGGAGGGGGCGGGCGGCCGTTCTGAGTCTGCAGCGAGAAGGAGAGCTGGTGGCCCTTCACGGCGTAGGGCGGGCTCTGGAACTTGGAGGAGCCGTTAGCAACAGAGGGGATCAGAGAGGCCGAGTACGCCATGCGGCCCGCCTGGGGCCCGAGGAGGCCGGAGGGGGGCACAGAGGGCTTCGCGGGTGGGGCAAGGGGGTTAGGGCCGTCACCGCTGGGAGCGGGGGCAGAGCTGCTTTTCCCAGAAGTGGGAGAAAAGGCAGGGATCTTAGAAGCAGGGAGGGTGGGGGAAGTAGCCTTATAGTCCCCACCAGCTTTCTTAGCACTTCCATTAGCCTGCAAATAAAGATGGCAGGAGACAGTTTGTCAGAAAGCCAGTAACACGACAAATGAACAGGACCTGGGAGAACGGCCCTGCACAGAGCAACAGCTACAGTTCGAGGCCTGAGCTAAGCCTTGGCAGCCACGGACTGGACCTGGTAGAAAACCCAAAGTACACAACGAAGAATGCATAGAGACAGAGCGGACAGAAGGCGCGACCGATGGTTTATTACAGACCACTCACTACACGGCCATGCTCCGGGGTTATTCAGGGTGAGCAGACACGTCCGATGGGAGGGTTAATGTGCACCCCCACAGCACCCCAGGTTAGTGCCCGGGGCTCCGCGCAGGCCTGGCCGGCCTAAGGAACCCGCATTGACCGAAGGGAAAGTAAACAGGTAGTTGACATCTCGACGCTGCAGCTGAGTACCACGGGTTAACAAACAAAACGGAACGAAACAAAACCCAACAAAAAGCAGCAGGTGTTTTATTGCAGACAGGCATGCACAGGCATGTGAGAGATCAGTAGGTACGGGCATGCCCCCAGGCTCCAGG